GAAGCGATGTATTGCCACCGAGGTAAAGTCCAATTACTGGGGCTCATGTGCAAGTCCCATTTCTATGGTGACTTGGCAGAGGTGTAAAAGATAGGGTGAAGCATAATAGCCTCTATGTTCGAGGCCAAGCTAAAAGGCGGTACTGGATATGAATTTAAGGGACTCGTGCCAATCATGGCGACCATGTTCCCAAAGTGAAATGACAGCGATAAGTAATTATGATTATTGGACATGTGAGGCATTGGGTTACCAAGGTTCGAACTTAAAATGCACAGTTTGATCAGGGCAATTCTTTTGAAAAATGGATGCATGCCTCTCCAGCATTTTGGATTAATATTGATTTTGATCCAATTAGTCAGAATGGAGGCATCTTACCTAGGGATGTCAATGTAGCTCGTTGGCTCGGGCAGCCCATGACTCTGCCTGGGAAAAGCCCAAGCTGAACGACTCTTGTCACTGGCCATTTTCGACCTATGAAGAGTCGAGCCGAGCCGAGTTTTAGAAAATAAAAGGTTAAAAAAATAATAAATGATTACAGGTGCCTGTAAAACGCAGGCAGTAGTATTATTATAAAAAATAAATAAATGAAAAATCGAGTCGGCTCGGCACAGCTTGTACGAGCTGAAAGCTTTACTCGAGCCTAAATTTGTTTGTGATAGCCATCAAGAGAGGTGATGAAGCCAAATTTTATGATGATGTTAGGATAGGCCAATTGCTACCCCTGTAAGTAGTTGTTAGTTCTTCTGGGATCAACGTGGAAAGCTTGAGCGGCTAGCTCAATGCGGTTACAGGCACTGTTGAGCGAGAAAGGAATTCGCTACTTCGGATGTAAGGTTACCAGATTCATCTTCAGATTCTTCAAAGGATGTGGCAAAGGTAGAGAGCAACAAACTTTGTTGTTGGTGGGATTATAGGTGGTGAAATATAGCAAGACGTATGTGGCCTCAACAAATATTAATGAAGACTGTCTCAAAATTCGGTAATTCTTTTGGGTTATGGATGACAGCGAACAAAAAACCTGAGGTGGATGAGAGAGTTTGCTGTCCGAGGGAGGGTTGCATGCGATTTTTGGAGCTGTTATGATGCTGGGATAAGGTTTTTGTTACATCTCTGTTTAGAAACTAGAAAGGTAGATAGGACCTCAAGCTTGGCAAAACTTAGATTGTCCTAACTGTAGGAGCCAAATGGTCAGGGCATTTATGTTACGGCTATGCTTCAGCCTCGATGAGATGATGTCCTTTCACATATTTTTATATTATGTACCCGCTCGCAAGCTACCATTAAAGGTGAAGGGTGAAAACACAGAGAAAGGGTGGTACAATGTTTACCCTTGGATGTCTTACGCCTCTTTGGTGTAAGAGTACCCCACTTCCGTGAAAACGTAGAAGTGGAATTCGCTTTAGTTTAGGAGAAATGGAAACAAGTCCCCGAAGATAATGAGATGGCCCTGACTGTGTCGAGAATCTACAACTTTTCAAGTGATTTCTGTTGCCAAATTAGTTAAGGGGATCTGACATGCTTTGAGAATTTCACTAATGCATCTTCCTTTATTTTGTAGATCACCTATACAAGTTATTATGCCTCTTTCATTGAGGCTCCAAATCGTGGCAGCCAAGTAGCAAGTCAAATCAAGCCCATATTCCACATCAACATCCCCTGTCAAGGTGGGACCATGTCGAGTAATGGATCACTTCATTCGATGTGTCTTGAGGGACGACCTTGCCCTCATGCAAGGACCTCACATATGCCACAACAACTTCTCTTAAAGCTACCACAATGTATCTACTTCCACCTCTGCAATTCAAACTCCATCATTATATAAGCCCATGTTTGGCTCCCATTAAATTTTAATTCATTTTCTCTCCTCTTATCAACCACATATCTTCTCAATAAAATAATATTACACATAAATCCAAAAATCCTCCTTATTTTAACCACACATTATCCAAAAAAATACTATTCCAAAATAAATTTTTGTCAAATAATGGAGCTCAAACAAGGGCTAAATATCCATGCTTGGATTTGGAGGAATATTGTGTTGTATTCAAAGTGAACAACCAACCAACAAAAGGTAAAACCTTCCACCCGAATGCATCATTTCGACAAAGAATAATTTACCTCCAACCCTATACAAAATTCATACATGAACTTGGGGGGCTATGCTACGCTTCTTTCACTTAGGCTCCAAATCACCTCCACGTGGCAGCCCAATAGCAAGTCAAATCAGGCCCACACTCCACATCACCATCCACTTGGCTGAGATGGGACCATACTGAGGCAAGGGATCATTTCATCTGATGTGCCTTGGAGGGACGACCTCCAAGGTCGAAGCCGAGGTGACATGTCTACTGCACGAAGATATCTAAAGAGATTAAATTCTCAATTGATGAGAAGCATCTTTTGTTTCACATCTTTTGAGAAAATCCTTTGAATGAATGTTCTTATGATTAATCGAAGTGGTATCTCGCACTAGACCCCTAAAGGTCAAAGTCTTCAGCCCACTTTTCAAAAAACATTAATTGTTGCATTAAATGTCCATCAACCTATAATTGATGGATTGATACCTAGGATGAGACATGAGATACCCCGACCACCATATGAGTCCAAGTGTCTCCTTATCCAACGGCCAATATCTCACCTCAACTACTATATAGGCCCAAACATTTTGTCATTTGAAGGTAATGCAACTTTACACACAAATTGTAAACTTGCTCTCCCTCATATTTTACATATTTTCAGCATATATATACTTTGTGTTGCTCACATCTCTAGATATCCTATACCTTATATTATGTTATCGTCGATTGACTTGATCGTCGGAGTTCTCGCAGACGCCTCTATCACCATCAGAGAGCCACAAGTGACTAATAGTTTCTCCAACTATGCAAGAGCATATCTATGTGGACGCAAGTAGGGCTGAGATCTGTTGTCCACGTTAATGGTGCAAAAAGCGAGGTCAACACATGCACTGTGCTCTAAATTTTCAAGTTGTTCAATCAATCTACAAGCTTTTAGTTTCAAAGAGGAAGGTCAGTGAGGTTATAGACATGAAAACTCATTTCATGATATTAGGTTTAATGGCCAACCAACATAAATAGCATCCCCTCGAATTTCAATTTCCTTTAATCTCGAGGCTTTTGATGTAGTCATCTTTGCATAATATTTTTCCAAAAGAAAGTTTCCGAAGGGAGACCATCAAGATAGGAACCCTAAGGAGTTGCGACTACAACTTATAAGTAGAAGAAGGAACTTGAGCGCCATAGCAATGCAGACTCTACTATCCCTTGGGAGAATAAGGACCAGGCTTCAAGCACGACTGTAGAAACTTTAGAGACTCGAGAGGAGAAGCATATGAAGAGGAAGTTGAAGTGAGGCACCGAGGACCAAACCAAAGAGCCCAAGTAGAACAAAGACAGCCACAAGGTAGCAAAGTACGAGCTCCCAAAGAAGGTGATTGATGAAGCCTATAAGGAGGTTTAGAAGGTGCAGCAGGTTGAGGTTCGAAGAAGGTTTGGAGATTCATTATGCACATATTATACAAGCCAAAGGGGCTCCTTGGATTTAGAAGTCATTATGCACATATTATACAAGCCAAAGGGACTTCTCGGATTCGGAAGTCATATCAATTGCAAGAAAAGATAGCCTAAAAGGAGAGAAAAAATTAAGACATCAATCAAGAAGTAAGGGCAGGGTTTTGAAAAGATGAAGGCGAATTCTTGGTGCTAACTTTACATCATCCCCACCCCCCAAAATTGGGTGATGTACTTAAATTCATTGTTGCATTTTTCTTCTCTCATGATGTATAATTAAATAAATATCCAGATGAACGATTTTAACCTAATTTTGAACCTTAATTTTAAATATAAATTTGTGATTTGTTTTTTACTTCTATCCTCGATGCATTGGATTTAATTTTAACGTGGCACAAGGTCTGGTAATTCCATCATTTAGAACTTCCAGAAAAAAAATAATGTGACAATAGGTCTAGTTAGTCGTTTTGTATCTCCTCTAGTTAGATCTAAACATTTGATATACATCCTCATTGTATAAGTTTCTTCACTCTTATGAATTTAACATCTTAATTGACAATTTTTGTTATGTGAGGACTCAAATTCACATATTTAAATAGGTTGAGAATTCAAAACCTCACTTTTTAATTGACAATTTTTGTTACGTGGAAACCCAAATTCACATATTTAAATAGGTTAGGAACAGGTAACAACACTATATAAAAGATTGAACTCTAGGCATTCTCTCTTTAGTCTGTTCGTTAAACTGAAAGACCTCTCGTCTCCAGTAAAAAGTTAAAACTCTATATTTGTCTGGCATATTATCAATACCAGCCCACCCAATCAACCTTGAATATAAGTATATTGCAAGACTTATTTTTAAATATCTGGAGGATTAAGTTAACCTATAACTAAATTGAATTATAAAATCGAAAATAAATAACCTATTCTGAGTCATAATTCTTCGTAAAAAATAGTTTTTTCAGTAACATCCGAGTTTACCTTAAAAATTTAACCCGAGACAAATTCACAATGAGAAAATGTGACATACATTAAACCAGTTAATTGCAAGTACCAAAAACAAAAAATAATAAAAATAATAATAAATGATCCCATTGAGAAAACTCGAATAAAAGATAAAAGATCTAATTAGTAACAACTCCTGATAACCGCAGCAAACAAATTTTCAAGCCAACTATAGCTGGTTCACTCAAACATGTAGAGGAAAATAGGATTCCACGACTAACGGGGAAATAGGCATAATGGGAAGGGAAAAATACTCCGAAACATTAATTAAACCTTGAAATGTTTTATTGTCAATCACAACTTAATGTCACCGATATGTCTTACATGCAATGCTGCTGAAAGATGAAAAATCAGCATTTAAGCAATAAACTAAAAATCGTAAGTACTTATTTTAGACAATAAATAGTGCATTCTCACCATCACTTTCTCCTAGAGTTAAAATTTAAAGTGGTACCGGCTAGCTGACTAGTTATCAACAGCCTCAATCAGGGTTGGCTCGTAATCAGCAGGTGCCTCGAGTCCGTGCAGGTTCATCACAGTTGCAGCGACATTTGCAAGTCCACCTTCAGGAACATCTTTGCGGAATCTCACACCAGGTGCCAGCCCAGGACCACCAATTGCAACAGGAACCTATGCAGAAGTCAAATGTAAGTATCAGCCATTGCTCGAGCATGTAGGGCTAAAAGCTTAAAAGTTACTTTTCCTAAAGTCTGTCTTAAGGTTTGTCAGTAAAAAAAAAAAAAAAAAAATAAATTCTAATGTTGGACAAAGAAGGAAAAAAAAAAAATCATAAATCAAATAAAAAATTGTCAGTAAAAAAAAAAAAAAAAGTAACTTCTAATGTTGGACAAAGAAGGAACTTAAAAGAATCATAAATCACATAAAAACTCCAGCTTAGTCAACAGAGGAAACATTTAGCCGATTTAATAGTGCTAGAGTAATTGAATTTACAAATTTATCATTTCAAATGCACCAAATATTCACACGCAAACATAAAACCCCCCTTTGGACCTATGGAATCACAGAGACCGTATATATTGTAAAATACTAAATCATATAGGAACTATATGATTTATTCAAACTTGTAAATAGGCTGTCAAATATTCTTAGCCTTGATTTAGATATCTAAGCCCCGTTCGGGAGGGATTAAAATCCAATTAAAATTGAAAATATGACCGTTATTGGGTCCCACTCATCTAATAAAAGTCGACAATAACGGCTATATTTTCAATTTTAATCCGATTTTAATCCCTCTCATACAAGGCCCTAGTGTATAAATATTTACCTTTTATTGTGAATACAATCATAAAATGGATTCTAAACAATGAGTCACACTCCTCTTAAAGTTCCTAGCTTCTTTTCTTGATTTCTTCTCCTTATTCTGCGGCTTTTATCTCTCTCTTCTCTATATGTGGGTATTTACTGGTGGGGTAAGGACTTATTGCTTCTCTTTCCCTTCCTTGGTGTTGGGTTCCTATGTTAACACAACTGTTGAGCCTAAGTACTTGTACTTTCATGATTATATGAACCTCATGCTATTTAACTCTTTTTGGATCTATAATAGGGTTTTGCCATCAACTAGTATCTCTACCTTCACTTTAACCCTTTTTTAAATTATTTTTGAAATTTCTTTTATAGTACTCCCAACTTTTTTTAATATTCATGTTTCAATTGTACTATTCTATCAAAAGAGGGAACAAAGCTACTGTTGGAAAGCAATCACTATAACGACGCAGCCTCTATGCTCAAGCCGTTAACTTACGTCATGTCCACTTTGGTTAAGTCTCTCATTAGGTAGAGCTCTTGTATTCAAATCTTGGAGGATGTGATAGAATGCCTTGAGGGAGTAAGTGGACAGATGCCCACCCAAAACGAATAGTACATATGATATAATGAATTGGGCATAGAGGCAAGATCGTTACAATTACACACTGAGGTAAATCATAGGGATTGTCAGTTATGCAACTACTACAAAGACATAATTAATTGAAATATTAACATGAGAAGTACAATAGTTTAAGGGAGATGAAGCCGCACCCCTTCTAACCAATAAGAATCTTAACCCCTAAGAATAGTTAGAATAAGCTCTACATAAACCATAATTAAGAGCTTCCCAAAATTCCTGTACAAGTACATGAACACGCATATAGAAAAGAAATAAAAGAATGAAAAGTTGTGGATAAAGAAAGAGAAGAAAATAAAGAGGTTGAGATTCTCCACAAGTCGGTAAGAATCTCCAACTATTTTGTTAAGGCAATAATTTCAGAACTTTTAGAGACCCTAGAACACGTTTAACATGAGAAAAATTACAAAGAACTAGACCGGACCTCGAACACTACTTGAGCAACCATTAATGGAGGTTTACTACCGGTTCAAGGGTACCTAGTGCAACATGTACTAGCACAAGATGCACTCGATTACATCCATGATTCGGCTGCACTGGAAGGCACATGGAAGCCTATTAACTCAACTATTCGCTTAGGACACTTGGCATGCAAGGATGAAAACTAGAAAATGAAGTGCAAGTAGCTGATAAGAATCTGCTATTACGTAAAAGGAAATGTGCTGCTCAAGTCACTCGTTTCTAGAAGGTTTTACTAGTGGTTACAAGTGGTAGTTACAAGAAGGCAGTGGTTATAGGATTTCGGTAGGAAGTAGTTGGCGCCAAAGAATAAACAAGAGATGGTAGGCCTAGACAATTAATAAAGGTAAAATTTGGTTATTGTCTTGGGAGAGAAGTAGAGCCTCTCAAATGCCTACAAATTTCAAATGCCTACAAATTATTGTATTTCCTTTCATTCAAATTGTAATTCCATGCAGAAATTCATAATCTATTCCAACATGGCAATACCTATCAATTGGTATCAAAGCATAGATTCTAGGGAAATGGCAACAGAATGGAGCAAAGATTTGGAGAAGACGGGGTCACTTCTGGAGAATTTCGAACACGTGCTGCAAATATTCAGCGAAGAAGATGATTTCCGATTAGATTCGCAAGACCGTCTCAAGATACAAATATTCTATGATGGAAATTCAGATTCATGGCTGTCTAGGGCGGCCAAATGTTTTGCCGTGAATCAGTGGTTTTCCGAGAGGGAAAAGGTAAAATCCATCTTCGCGTGCTTTGAAGGAGAGGCATAAGCATGGCTCCAGTGGATAGAAGGTTGTCGTCCAATTCAAACTTGGGAAGAACTGAAGGTTTAGTTGTTGGCTCGATTTCGCACGAATGTGGTCTCCACTGGTGAAAAATTTCCAGTATGAAGGCGTTGCGATGTAATAAACTCGGAGACGGTAAAAGAACGGTGGTGACAATAACATGTGTCTCCATCACCATGGAAGAGGTCTCTATTAATGGGCTGAATCAAGAGAAGATGGAGACATCGACAAACAAACGGGAAGAGAACTATGTGAAGAAGCTGAAATTCATATGGTAAACCCCATGGTCTTGGTTTTGGAGATGGTCGAACCTGCAAGGCAACTTACAATTAAAAATAGCCCCAAGGAGAACCAGGCCCAATTTGCAATACAAGTCTACTTTCTTCTGGCAATAATTCCTTCAAGCTTCTTCCTGGCGCAATGATGCAATTGCAGCAAGAGAAACTATTATACCATCGGTGGAGGGACAAGAATCCAATCTGGCATCACAATAAAAATAAGGGGCTACAGGAGTTGGTGGTCAGTAGCAACTCTGGTGGAGAAAAGGAGTGCAAAATGGAAGAATCAGGTGTACATGGAGCCAAAGGAAGGAATAGGGCAGCCATAATGCAAGGAGATTTTGTACGCTGTAAGAGACATTTTTGGAATATAATGTCAGTTCTTTTACTAGGAGTCAGCAAGGAGGACATGCGTACACGTCTCAATTATTTCAGCAAGGAGGACATGCGTACACGTCTCGGCAAGAAAGCCAGTCAACCAAGGGCCGTATGGGTGCTTATGCAGCTTTATGATTTATACAAGCTTAGGGTGTGTAACTATATGTTTACAATAGGGGCCCCCCAATCATAAAGAAAGATAAGAAATAGAGATCATGTCATTACAGTTCAATGTATACATTGTACTCACTCCAAACTATATTTTACATATCAACATAACTTGTGAAACCATTGAGTGTCAAAAGAGCAACTGGTCTGGATTGTGTTATGGCCGAGGATATCATTTCATTGTATAAGAGAAGCGGCTAAAGAAGGAAGAAAGCCTTTACTTATCCAAAAAGAAGCAGGAAATGGAGCTTTGAATAAGAATTGTCTTCTTTTGTTTTAAGGTTGTAAAAGGCTATCATATGTACCCACTTCCCCTAGTTTTGAAAAGTTAAATTATGTAGCTTTTGTTATGGATTTGAAGAGACTTGTGTGACATGTATTTGGTAATAATATAAATGAAAGACTTGTATCTACTTCCATTCGACCTATACTATAAAATGAGTTTTCAAAGTTGAAATAATATTTTGTTCAAGAATTGGTAAGGGTACCAAATTCTATGGTACACATACCTATTTGGAGTCAGGGATAGGTACAAATTAAAGGATTACCATGCTACTTCATTTGCACGGGATTGTGAATTGAGATTTTATGTGTGGTTACACACAATGTTGCTCACATAATGATCTATACAAGGAATGCTAGGAGCTGTTTATTGAGCAATGAATCCCAGTTCTCATTCTGATAGAAGAGAAATACTTCAGCAAGTTGTATAACTGTGAACATCAAGAGCTTCCCAAGGAAGAAATAAAGAAAAATGATTCCAAACACGTTATGTATATATTTGCAACCTCAGAAACAAAGACATTCTGCGCAATCTATGGGGTCGCCCTCGTTACAAAGGAATGCATAGAAAAGCTGCAGGCAGCTAAGAATAATAAGAAAAAGAAAAGAGAAATTCTTACAGGTTCAAGGGTGTGAGAAGTGAGTATTTGGATGTTGCCGTTCTTGTCAAGAAGAGGCTCGCCCTTCTTGTTCCTTTTCACCATGTCCTCTGCATTTCCATGATCAGCAGTAACAACATATATTCCACCCACTTGGTCTATTGCATCAAGGATCATCTGAAACAATCAGTGCAATTATCAGACCAACTTGTATTACTGACAGTGCAGTGCATCAAAATTTTATAGAAAGGATTCATTCAAAGCTCAAGAATATAGCATGAGAAACCATAACCAAAGATCTTTTTCAAATGTCTAACTGCAAGTGTAACATGAAATGATACAACATTTGTGTAGGAATAACTTGTCTCTCTAAAATGCAGACATCCAAAATCACACCTTATAAATTTCGCAAATTACTTATCATATTACAGGTTAGTCGTGTGCTTGCTCAACTAAAACTAGGAACTATTTCTAATTTGTTCGAAGCTTTGCACCTTAAAGAAACAGGGTTTGTAGCACATGAGTACGAATGGATAAATCACATTTCACTAGCCAGACACATCAGAGAATGAAATGTTTAGTTGCAAATTCTTCGTAGAAATATACATTAGTCAGAAGATGATCATTGCAACCAAACTGGTAGGCATCACTGCTATGACTTAAATTAAATGCATGTCTGTCTGGGAAAATGCAGGAAAATGGAAGGGGATAAAACTGTTACAACAGACTCAAAATTTCGGAGTCAGTTGATAGCCAAATCTAGTTCCTCTTTTACTTGTCTTGATTTCTGTCTTGAAATCCTGTCACTATTTTAAGATCAGGATTCTTTAGCATGTGCACACAGGAAAGAATCGTAGTGACGAATACAATACCTATCATTCCAGATGTTGCAAAACCTACTGTATTAAAATAAAAAGGGTGAATAAAAACATAAAATTTGATATCAAACATGCATTTAAAAAAAATGAAAAGCCATTTCAATTTCAATTTAAGAATAAAAATGTAGACATATTGGTTTATGAATGTGGATTAAAAATTTATCCATCTTCATATTATAGTAGTTTCTTTCCATGAAGGAATATTTTATCATAAAGGAGAAAAGGTCAAAGTAATTCAAGGGACATACTCTTAACATTCTAGCCAGTAAAGCAGTTACGCCACAGTAAACCTCATCAGCTCCTTACCCACCACCAACCAACAGTTCCCCTCTCTATCTTATTGCCCTACTTCAGTCCACAGAAAAAATAAAATCTACTAAAAAGAAAAAATCTAGATATCTCCAAAACCAATAATACCTTAACAGCATCATCAGCAGCTTTGCAAGCAACAATTGTTGCTTCAATGTCACCAGTATGTCCAACCATATCACTGTTAGGTAGGTTAACACGTACCTTGAGAGGAAATGAAACCTCATTAATACAGTGGTTCTAATACCAGACTTGTTCTTATTCAGTGTAGATGAAGAAAATGATGGATCACCTGGTCAAATTTGCGGCTAAGGATGGCATCCCTAGCCTTCTCAGCTATTTCCAAGGCCTTCATCTTAGGCTGGACATTGAAGGTAATACCACTATCACTGGGAATTTCAACATACTCTTCCATTTCTTGGTTAAAGTATCCTGAGCGGTTACCATTCCAAAAAAAGGTGACATGACCAAATTTTACTGTTTCACTGAATAACATCAACACAAATAACATAAGTACATATTACATCAAAACTGAAACTAGTCTAGCTGATAGGCAATGCACGCTTTGAGTTGCTGCAAAAGATAAACTCAGCACGTTTTTCAAAAGTACAAAATTCATTAATGACATATGGTAGCATTGTGATTTAAACTTATTGCAATAAAAAATCCTTCTAGTATACATATTTCTTAAAGAAACGGCAAGTTAATTGAGAAACATCCATAGAAGTTAAGAAACTTGTTATCCAGCAACAAAATTAGTAGTTTTCTATGCATCTTTAAAATAAGAAATACATGAGCATGCATGAACTAGGAAACTAGATTGTCACCAAACTTACCTGCAAGCAAAAGTACGGATACCATTATGTACTAAATATTCCCCAGATGTTCTATCAATCTCGGGAGGAGAAACAAGGTAGTGACTTGGAAGTTTCAATTCACCATCATACTGAAGCATTCCTGCATAATGAATTTTGGGGAAGCGAACTCGATCAAATTTATCGAAGTCCTCATACTCAAGTGCCTTGGCTAGCATTACCATACGATCAGCCCGAAAGTTGACTGTAACAACAGCATCACCATCTACAATAGGCCCAACAGCCTTTCCATTGTCATCAACAATAACAAATGGAGGCAAGTACTGATCATTAGCATTAGGAGCTTCTCTCAGCTTCTTGACAGCCTCAACAGCACTCTTAAACTTGTGTGGTGCCTCTCCAAGCACTTGGGCATCCCAACCTCGTTTGACAACGTCCCAATCATTCTGGAAACATTCAGAAAAACAATCATTTACAAGGTCAGAGAATAATATTTGTTAGGGAAGAATTTCAACCTAATAAGGTTGATTCGAGTTTCCTACATAGAAGTATACGAGAAGTTGTATAGTGATATTGCGATTTAGAATGCAGAGAAAACTGCTTATATACCTCAGAACTGTATGTATTTTTGCATTTTGTTAAGTTTATGAATGTACCATCTCTTATAGGATCCCACCGTTCCAGTTAAGTGAATAGCACGAAAGAGTCCAAAATCCACGTGTATCAATAATCGAGTAGACAATTCTGCCATATAAAGTAACCCAATATATGCTGCAGCTAGCATAGTATATGCCATACTACTTGCTTATTAGTTAATAGATAAATATTCCTAAGAACCAGGTACTGTAGTCTATAAGAATAAATAAGATCCATTTACCTCATACCGATCCATTGTGACCTGCATGCGACCTCCCCCGGAAGCAATCTGGGCATCAACACCTTTCTCACGCAGCTTTGAAAGATCATTTTCAAGAGTTTCTACAAAGCCTACACTTGTGCCATCCAAAACATCACGTCCATCAGTGAGAACATGAACACGGATTCTTTTTGCACCATGTTCACTAGCTCCTTTTAGTAACAACTGCATCCCATTATGACATGTGAAATTATTGTTTCTCCACAATGTTTAGATGATTGTGAGACAAGGAAAGGTTAACACAGTTTCAATTTCAAATAAGAAAAACAAAAAGAAGATAAAAACACCCATCCAAATGTATCAACAAATATGTGAGGAAGCTTATTAATAGACATACCTGCAGCTGATCAAGCCTAGAGTGGACACCTCCATCACTTAATAGTCCAATGAGGTGCAATGTTCCAGTTTCAAAAGATTCCTTTATGTACTTGAAACCTTCTCCTTCGTAGATTTTTCCAGAGGCAAGAGCCAAATCAACAAGCTTAGCGCTGCATGGAAACATAAAACAGTCATTGTTTTAAGCCACACGCTAAAGCAATAAGCAGTTACCCGTTCCCTTTAAATTGTAGGTGTAATTTGTGAAAATTAAAACAACACAAATCAAATGAAAATGCAATTTTTTTGGGGCCGTAAAAGGAGACAATGGAACTGTGACTATACGAAGAGCAAATGATCCCTTATCGCTGTTTTCCTACAACCTCTTGATCTAAATAGCACCAATTAGATTAAACTTTCAATCAGTACTTTGCATCTCTAAGAGCTAATGCTCCACTAAATTAAAAGTAAAACATTTTGCGGTTAGAAAATGTTTTCAGCAATGACTGCAGATTTAAGAATTCAGATATTAGCCTCTGTTAGTGAACCATTTATAAATCACTTATAAATGATTTGTGCCCAATCATTTCAAACACTTGTCTGTTCAGATTAAAAAAATTCCAAGTAAGAACTTAACTATAGGTATTTGCAACATAGCACGCATCTACATTCTATCATCAAATGTAAATAAACACCTATGATGTCCACCCATATAATGTGCAGGATCTGTTAAAAAAGCAGCATCCAATCTAAATTTTTATGTTTATTTTCTTCAGCCGCCTACAACGTCGGAATAGAATAAATATGATGCTCACCCTTGTGCGAAAATTCGGCCAGCACCAAGAGCATTGTGACCAACCTCACTGTTGCCCATATCGTCGTCTGTGGGCAGCCCCACGGCTTTACCGTGCGCCTTCACCAATCTCCATTTCTCAGGCGCACCCTTCATCAATCAATCCACAACAACAATAAACAAATCAATCCGATTTCATTCTCCGAAAGAAAAAAAAAATCAATAACCCAATAAGCAAAATTACCTTTTTCAGTGAATCCATGGCAGGAGTCTCGGCGACATGAATGCAGTTGTACTGATTGGGTTTGGCCTCACCCCATCCATCCAAAACCACAACCGCTATGATTTTTCCCTTTGGCAATTTTGGGTGGTCGTTCAATTTCCATGAAAATCCAGAGCTACCCATGTCTCTCTCTCTATTCCGAATTAAGAAAAAAAAATGATAATAAATAACCAAATCTTGATTAGGAAAACAGTAAATACATCAGATCCAAGACACTGATATATACGTATATAAAGACAGAAGAATCTAACCTTTGTAATTAAGTGCAGAAAATGTAGAAAAGTAGGACAAATTTTGCAAGATCGGGCCAGTATTTAACAAGAGGCTTGGTGGAGGCGGCTGGTTGGGGTTAGGCCAATACACGTGACTACGTGAGGATGCGCGTCACCACAATTTACCTTTTCTAGGAAAATAATAGGGGAGGTTCCCAACCTTTGACTTGCGTTGCACTTTGGTTCCCATATTAAAAATGAAGATTTTATCTAATACTTGGCCCACATTTGATCTTCATTTATTTATTTTTTTTAAAATGAGTTCTGTAATAGAGGTGAGCCTTTGGCACTGCAGAACCCTACATTGTCAGAATCTTTTAAAAGACAGATAAGAAAAATGCGTACCGTAATAAATTGAGAGTTGGAATTCTTTCTTTCAAAAGAGTACTAAGTAGAAATAATTTTGGATTTACATGAAAAATTATTATATTGAAAAAATGTATAGTTGAAAATAATTTTTTTAAAAATGGGACACAAGCAATCAATGTTTATTGAAAAAAAAAAAAGTAAAATAAAGAGTCAAAATAGAACACATCATTAGAGTGTAAAAAATATTAGTTTTAAATTTAATGAAGCTCTCTAATATTGTTATACATAAAATGTGTCTTGGAGATGCTTTTTGTTAAAATTGTTAAGGTGAAGACTCAAGTCCTATTAAAATGAAATTTATGATGTAAATACTATATTTTAAAGATTGAAGATCAGAATGAGTACATAACAATTATTGAGGACCTCTCTTGCTATTTACCCTTCTAGCGAAAGGGCCGGAAAGATCTAGTTCTTGCTCTTCTCAGCAAGAAATTTTGTTGTGTTATTGGAACTTTGAATTGCGCCAATTGTGCGTTTTTGTTTGACGTCAATTGTTTATTACTCTAACCGTGCTAGCCTACATGTGCAAGTTCAATGACAATTATTTTTATATTAAAAAAAAAAAAAAACAATACATGGCGACATTTGATTGGAAGTTGCAAAAAAAAAATGACTATACATACCATTGTTATTAAAACCGGACCGGACCGGCCAGTTCGATCCGGAACCCGTCGAACCGGACCATGGTCCGGTCCGAGCAGTATATTTTTTTAACAATGCAATCAACCCGATAAAAAAAACCCATTGGACTGCAGGGTTTTACATAAAATCGTTGGCCCAAATCCGGAAAACCCGCCTGGTTCACATAAAAACCCTAAAAACCCAAAAGGCAAACACTCATTCTCACTTCTTAGTCGTTTTCGTTGCATAGCCTGTAGAGAATCCTCAGCCTTCGCTTGCAATTTCACTCCCAACAATCCAAAGCTTCAATTTCAAGGTGTATTAGATCGAAGAATATGTAAGTCCCAAATTTCCTTTTTTTTTGTGATTTTCACTGTTGTGCGATTAAATTCTGACAAAATATTTCGATGGATTGGCTAAATTTTGGAAGATTTTTATCATAATTTCGTGTTATAGTTGTCTATATGTTGGATACTATATACAAAAACTGTGTTGTAAAATTTAAATGCAATTTTATAGGTGAATATGGAATGAATTTATTTGGTTACTGTGACGAGTCACAGATGGAAGCGACACGTGGCACCATATTTTTATCAGTGGGACCAGTTTAATTAAATCATGGTATATTTTCCTAGCCTCAGACGTGGATTTTGAGGCCTTGATTTATTAAGAGGCCATTNCCATTCAAGTTGTAACACTATAAATACCCCCACCATGTAACACGAGATGGCTAATGAAAATTCTGAATAAAAATCTAAATACTTGGAGTAATATCTCTCTCATTTAAACAGTGACTTCTACAACATATTTTCCACTACAAATTGTTCTTTATCGATTGGTTTCTTATACGATCGCGTTACATTTATCTTGCCGGAAGCCTGAACGGAAAAGTCTCGTGCCTCTGAGACACTCCCACGTTCATTTTCTGGAGCCAACATGACCGTTGATCGGTATTAACGTGTTGAATCAAGCTTGCGTGTGCACGAGTGGGCCCGACATCTGTTGGCAACATTTTTTGGGGTCAACAGATTGGCGCCGTTTGTGGGAATCCACACCATAACCACGAGCAACCCCGTGGAAAAATCTATTTGAGAAAATACTTTGGGTATCCCTCGTTGAAAAAGGATTTGTTCTTGTGAAAAGAACAAGAGGAAGCTCGTAGAGTTGAAAAATATTCTTGACTCCAAATTTCAAAAGGTATGAGTTCAGAAGAGGAAGCTCCCCCCAGGCAAACTAGAGAAACTGATAATGAGGCCCCAGTGGTCTGACGTCGACCCCATCACCATCATAGGCTACGTGGTAGGAAGTTGGCGGCCCAGCTAACTAGGGAAATGGCTACTATGGCAGCCAATATGAGGAGCATAACCAACCAAAATTTGGCAATATAGGAATTGTTAATGCAGATGCGAGGCCAGGGAGGTCACCCAGTCCCTCCTTATGTACCCTAGGAGCAATACCAACCTGAAGAGATACAAAGTCAAAGGGCTCACCCCCCCTAGGCGTGACAAGGGAGGAAGCCCAATCGAAAGGGAAGTAGGAGTTGACATTTCCTTCAACTATACATCTGGCCAACCCACCGAGGCCCCGTTTAACATGGAGGACAAGTTTCCTCCAGAATATGAGCCAGAACCGAGGCCCCAGAGGTCCGTCAGCATATTCGATCGACTAAGTCCAGGGCCTAAGAACAGGCCACAACCCTCACCCCCTGAAAATTGGCAACCGGAGGAAAGGCAAGGACGTGCCCCCCCGTGTTGCACCGCCTCGGCGTGAACGCCAAAGGAGGGAAGAGGAGGCTGGTAATCAAGCAGGACCCTCTGCACCACCTAGGTACGAGGCTAAAGCCAACTATGATTCAGATGGTCCACAAATATCGTGCGATTTGGATGGCGACGATGACAACCTGCCATTTTCGCGAGAACTAAGGAACGCCCAGGTACCAAACCACTACGTGATGCCCAAAATATCGAAATATGATGGGAGAGGCGACCCAGCGAAACATCTGAACAGCTACAAGACGCATATGAGTCTAAGAGGTGCCACCCCAGTTGTGAAGTGCAGAGCATTTCATCTGACACTTAGTGGAGCAGCTGAAATATGGTACAGCAAGCTACCGCCTGGGAGTATTCGTAGTTGTCCAGAGTTCAAAACCATCTTTTTGAATAGATTCGCTGTGAACAAGGAAGGAGAGGCCCCTATTCAACGTCTCCAGGATATGAGGCAACAACCTGATGAAACCTTGAAGAGTTTCTTATCCCGCTTCATAGACGAAATGACGTGTTGTGTTCAAGTTACGGATCGTGAAGCCCTGTCTGCCTTGAGAGGACGGGGTGGTTATCTGTCAAGTGTTTTTCGACACACATCTGGACAAAGTTACCCGCCCCGTCCCCGACCCGAATACTCGATTAAACAGGTAATCCCGATCCCGTTAAGAGTGGGGTCCCGCGGGTATCGGATTTATCAGATTTTTTTTTTGCCATCCTTATTACTAATACTAGGTGTAAGCAACGTGCAATGCACGTTTGCTTAGTTTATATTTAATAATTTCGTTTAAAAACTAATTTGTTATTAATAAAGATGTAATTTTTTTGATTAATTAAATAATTAATGATGTAATATTTATGTAATTGTTAAATAATTAGACGTTGTGATATATTTAAAAAAATATTTATGTAATTGTAGGCTCCCACCTAAAATGCTTTAGAAATGACATCATCATTAAGCGCAACATGATTTCTACAATTGCAGCAACTGTACAATCTTGGACCAATCCCCTCAGCCATTTGATGACCAATATTAACACCACTTCACTACAAGCTGATTGAAATCAAGATCATTTCATGTCACAAGATCTTGAAGTTCTATCATTATATCAACAGAAAATTGGTAAAAAAAATAAAAAAAAGAGTTGTACATTCGTTGCCAAAACTCGAGAATGTATTGTAGCAAAAATTTGGAGAGTCCAGTTAATATTCTCCATACTGACTACCAAAGCATAAGTATTGGGATGAACCTGTAAAAGATTTTTAGCAAGATCAATTGAGATCAAACCAACACTACAACCCATTCCACCTAAATTGTAACTAATTATGTTTCCCCTCAATTTGTAAAAGTTAATAACCATAGCAGATAAAGAAGGAGTAGGATTAAACAGGCTGCAATTCACAATCAAAATCCCAATGTCCTTTGGCTTCAGAGAAGTTTTTGCAAGAAGCTCATCAATGGCACCAAACATTACAGCTTCTGCCTCTTTTCTCACCAAGTCCCGATTTCTCAAGAATTTTCCTTTGAAACTCAAGACTTTCCTCAGTAAAACAATCTGCCAACCTTGACCTCTCCATAAAAATCTGCCTAGTGCATTTCCTATCATCGTCAGGCTTATAACATGAGTAATTCACAAGGTACACTGGGCGAGGACGCGTAAGGAAATACACAGTCAACAGAAAGACCAAGAGCGCCGAGCACACAATCACCGATATGAGGTTGAATGTGAGATGATCCCAAAGAACGTAGAGGTCTTGGAGCGAAAATGTGGAGATCTGGGCTGCGATGACAACCACGAGAGGGGACAAAAATAGGTACATTCCATGGGTAATAAGGTAATGGTATCCAAGTTTCACATACTTCAATTTCACAGATTGTTTGAAATCTGGAAGCATTCGCGAAGATGTTGAGGGGATCAAGGGTATATTTGCATTTGATTTACTCATCTTTGTTTCAACTTTTCTTCAATTTTTCTGGAAAATAAATATTAAAAAGGGTTCAGAAAAACAAAATTAATTTTAAATGTACATAAATAACTAACCATAAATACAATAGTAACAATAAAAAATTTGAACTTGTACTGGAGATCAATATATCTAACAAGAAAGAACATCCCACAAAGTGGTTTAGATTTAATTAACAAATGCATCTCCATGTTTCCTGCAAAATTTGTTACAAGAAGTCAGAGAGATCAAGAGATGCTATTGACACCATATTTGAATTAGCCTATTCAATAGTAGCTTTGGTAAGATAAGTCACCCAGACAAGAATAATAAATGAGACAGTAAAAAGAGGGAAAAATCTCAAGAAATAATGGACAAGTGTGATGACATGATTTCAGCAATTACATGGGGGGGAAACAATGATGTAACTTACCGAATGATCGCGATGCTTGCGATCTTTATCTTTGCTCCAGACTTCTTTTCTAAAAAAATATTAATTAAACATTGTTACCAACAGTTCTTGAAACATCATAATCATAATTACAAAGGAAAATCAATTGAGTGAGGGTTTGAAATGAATGGGTAATAACAAAAGAAATCTACATTATTAAGTTCTATGAAGTTTAAGAAAAGGAATCTTGTATAAATTAAGCGTAAACACCTGTATATGGCATACTAAAAGAGATATCAAAATGCAATTTCATGGTAGAAAGACAGAAAGCCTAATACTATAGAAAAAAATGTTCATCAATGTGCTGTTATAATTTTTCCTTTCTTCTTATTACAACTCCCATTTAGGGACAACCGAACAACTACATAATGATTCATTCAAACAGATTTTTTTTCATAAGAGTCTTCGGGGGTTCTTCCATTGTCAAAATAAAAGGGAACCACCTCTTCTTTATCATCATACACCAATGAGCTAGGCGTAGGAGTTCTCAAGACGGTGATGTGTGTAAAATAGTGAGTTGTGTTTGGTCTAATGGCCCGAGCAACATGAGAAATCCTAGTTAATACAAATTTTATCTTCAATTCTTAAGGTAATGCAGTTTAAGTTGCACTGTGTTTGTCATGATTACCTACCAAAAAAAAAAAAAAAAGGTTGCACTGTGTTTGCTGAATCTCAGGCCAACAATCATGCCATGGCTGCTAGCTGGGGACTGCTACTCAACCATCTTCAAGAAATATAACCCTTCCTTTACCATAGCCATTTTTCATAAATTTTTAGAGCACAGATCAAAGACTTATATCTTCCAACCAAGGTTATTATTTATTTCCAAAACCCTAATAGCCAAAGTATTCCTATTCGGAATAAATTGTGAACGAAAGTGTCAACCAATGCCAACCCACCCCAGATTTTTTGCACAAATCAACAAGTAATTCGTGAACATTGCAAAATATGTTTACTAACCATCAATTATTTCCATCTACGACAATAATAAAAAACATATCTACCTGAAGCCTGAGAGACGAAGATTTCTTCGAGTTAAAATTAGGAAAAAAAAATTGGAAAAAAATCCCAATCGTATGATGTTAAATAACAAATACCTTTATCAGAACGGTGTTTGGAAGATTTATCGGATTTGTGCTTCTTATTGGAAGATCACTGCAAATTCAAAGGTAAGGATTCGAATTTTCAGCACGAATCAGACCCTTTTCTCAACAAATCACAACTTTCACCAGAAAAAATCTCAAACCTACGAGATTAATTAACCGAAAATAGAGAAATTATCATAAAATCCCCAATAAAAGAACAATAAATTCTGAGCAAAGAAAATAGGGACCTACGAGATTAATTAACCGAAAATAGAGAAATTATCATAAAATCGCCAATAAAAGAACAAGAAATTCTGAGCAAAGAAAATAGGGCTTACAGTCAAAGAAAATAGAGCAAATAAAATAGGCCTTACTGCTTACAGAAAATAGAGCAAAGAATTGAAGAAATACAGCTAGTTACACGGACTTACAGTATGGTTACTGTTGCAGACTTGCGGTGCTGCCGATTGTCGAAGTCGAACAGGAAATGCTGATGACGATCACCAATTTCAATTCCATAACAGACCACAGTGAATCTCTGCTGCACACAACAATACCCAAAATGTAGTATTAAAATAAAAAGCACAAACGTCTCAACTGAACATAGAAAAGGACCAATTTCATCTCAAGACTCAAGCTACTATCACCAATAATCCAATTGCTAAAGAAATTAAGAAAATACCTGATCCTGGGGGAGGAGAGAGTTACATAGAGCGTTCTTCATGCTTCTCGGCTTTCCAGTAAGCATAGGCCATAGTAAACTGATAGAGATCCGTTAGAAGAGGTGTCACCATAGGATTGGTCGGCCCATTGATGCTGCCGTTCCGTTTCCCTTCATTCGCCGGTCCATTAACCTTCGGTTCCGCGGTCGGTCCGGTGGAGCCCTGCACGCGGAAGGGAGCCTAGTTGCTGGAGGTGGTAACACGATATGGAGATTTGGGTGATTGTCGCCTACTTGCTGCTTCGGGGCATCCAGCGTTTGAAACGTTTCAAATCGATGAACAGGGGATTCAAGGTAGCTTCGGGCGGAGACGGATTCCAAGCGTTACCCACTGTTCGTCGCCGGACGGAGTTCGCGAAGGGATCGCTTCTAGGGTTTCAGAGTACCGATTGGGAATTCAGAGAGACGGGTCCAAAGTTTCTCTCTCTTCGCTCTCTTTTCTTCCTTTTATACGCCAGCTAATCTCTATTTCAGCCCAAATTCCGTTAGTTTTTCCGTTAAACCAAGAAATTCCGTTAGTTTTTCCGTTAAACCAACAAAATTCCGTTAGATAGCCACTTTTTATATAGAAGAGAAATATGATATTTAAAATATTTTATCAAATACTTAATTAAACCGGTAATCCACTTATCCAAGTGTTGACTCGTGACTCAATGCTTTGAACGGAAACCAATTAAGCTAATTAAAAAAAATTATGATGAGCACCAAAGAATAATACCTACTAACAAAAAAATTGAAGTTGACCAGAAACCCTCTCTCTCTCAAATTGCTAGATGAAATATTTTTTTATTAATTCACAATTCCCTGCCAGAATACCAATAGAAAAATAAGATATACTACATCATATCACACGCTCTACGCCACTGTGAATTAACAAATTAATAATAATGAAAGCGTGCGAATAATGTCACCTACGGTTCAGCAATGAAGCATGCAATATGCGAAGAGGCATGCATGTATTGGAGAAATTTTTGAGGTCCAATCAATACATTTGAGTTAGGTTAGTATTAGTGGTGGGGACAAAAATTGAGTATAAATTTGTTGTCTACTCAGTTAATTATTGACACATCATTTTAAATTAACATGACATCAATTTGGTGGATTAGTGGTGAAGTTAATAAGAGTAAATTTGAGATGATACGTTAATTTAAAAATGACGTGTCAATGATTAATTGGGTGGATGATAAATTTGTCAGCATATCTTAACTCCAAAAATTTCTAGAGTGACAAATTATACATGTATTAAGTATATATTTTAAAAAATTAATTTTTTTTCCTTAAAAATTATTGCAAGAATTGCCCTCATGTCCAGTTTATCCTCTATCCGTGGTTGGCACACGCTTAAATATTAATCATTTAAATACTTGTGGGAAAAAGAAAAGAGGCAACATTTTGCCCAATCCATTAGTTTTGTACAAGTCTCTTAATTCTCCCCTGTCCAATTTGCTAGTTCATGGAAATTAGGATTGAATTTGATGTTATTGTTGATGTTGAATGTGTTACAAATTCAATTTTGCACTATATTTATGTTCGAGCACATTACATAATTAAATTCGCGTGTTATCTAAAATTGTACACGTGTTTTGATAAAACGAAGTCAATCTTCAAAAACCAAATTTAAACACATCTTATGTTAAATAGTTTATCAAAATATGGAGACATTGATACTAGTGACGGTATTATTAATCATGACTTTGGTATAGAACTGAAACTGCAACTGCGAAATAAATGTTGACGAAACTAAATAGCTAAGGAGTTGATTTGTTAACATTTGAATACCATTAAGTTCTCTTTTAAGATTCGGTGAATCTATATATCGAGCAATAATACAATTTATCTTACCACACGATATGGCAAAGAAATCATACTTAAAGGGTAAATTGCACTAAAGCCATTGAACTTTCAAAATATTAGTAGCTAGATCATTGAACTTCAATTTGGCACAATCATAATTTATCAAAAGTCAAGCAACTATATATATATATATAT